GCCTGTAGTCCCAGCAACTCAGGAGGCTGAGGTAAGGAAAAAAAAAAAAAAAAAAAAAAAAGCTTACAGTTCAGTACATCATACAAAATATGCTAGGTGAAAACTGTAGAAGACAAGTTCCACAGGAATTTTGAGGTGGGATAGGAAGATAACAGTAGGCAAGAATGAACAAAGATAATTTTATAGTAAAAACATAAATGTGTTTGAGACCTGAAGGATGGGTAGGATTTAAGTTAATGAAGAGATAGGGGAGGTTACTCAAGATGGAAGGCAGGCATGTGAAAGGTACTTTGAACCCAGTAAGTCATGGATTCTGATCAGAAGACGGAAAAGGCTATGGTCAGGCACCTCTCAGATAGGTGTACACAGTGTGGGGAGTGACACAGCCAAGAGAACGTTAACTGCTTAGTCTTAGGCTCCCAAATGGATAAGCAGTTATTTGTGCCTTAGTTAACTGTACCTTTCTTCCATATCAGGCTGCCAGGAATGAAGATTTTGTTTTTGAAAGTATACTAATAACATGTTAAAGCCTGGCAAAATAAAAAAACAGCAGCATGGGGGTACAGATATGTTTAGCTATAGGTTACATATTTTAACATTCTTGATGATGGCACAGGAGTGAAGAAATCACAAAGTGAACATGGATTTCAAGTGCTCATATTCCATTAGCTATAGAATTCCCAGTCTCTACCCTGTGCCATGTTTTGTATGTCCATTAAGAGAAGTCACCTGCCAGGTACAGTGGCTCATGTCTGTAATCCTAATTCTCTGGGAAGCTGAGGTGACAGAATTGCTTGAGCTCAGTTCAAGACCAGCCTGAGCAAGAATGAGAACTTATCTCTACTAAAAATAGAAAAAAAAAAAAGGTAGCCAGGTGGAGGTAGGAGGATTGCTTGAGCCGAGGAGTTTGAAGTTGCAATGAGCTATGATGACACCACTGCACTCTACCCAAAGCAACAGAGAAAAACACTATCTCAAAAAGCATAACAAACCAACAACTCCACAACCCCCTCCAGAAAAAAAACCCAAGAGAAGCCACTTAACACTCCTAATGTGGGTGACGGTGGACTCCTATTTTCCTTCCCTAAACTGCTGTACAAATAATGTCTGCTCTCTGGCATTTAGTCAGTTTCTGCCCCATTTTCTTCTCTATGTTGCCTTGAAAAAGGCCACAAATCTCTGATTTGTCTAACACAGTGGTTCTCAACCTTCCTAATGCCTTGATGTATTTTCATTGTTACAAAGGGGTCGCGACCCACAGGTTAAGAACTTCTGGTCTAATAGGCTGCATCATCTGCCACTGCTTTTCTGATAAGTAAGATTAAGGATATATCACTGAAATGTTATTTTTAGTTGGCGGGGTATGGTGGCTCATGCCTGTAATCCTAGCACTGATTAGGATTAATCAGTGGGGGTAAAGAGGGCCAAGAGAGGTATATTGCTTGAGCAAGATTCAGACTCTATCTCTACTAAAAATAGAAAACTACCCAGGTGCCTGTAGTCCCAGCTACTTGAAGGCTGAGGCAAGAGGATTACCTGAACCTAGGAGTTTGAGGTTTCCATGAGCTACAATGCCACAGCACTCTACCCAGGGTAACAAAGTGAGATTCTGTCACAACAAACAAAAAGTTAATTTCATACTTTGGAATATTATGCTATTATCTTAAAAATTCAGTTTATGTTTTGTAGGCCAATCTAGGCCAAAAGTGTTGTGTAAAAAGACAATTAAGACTGAAAAAATGGAATTTTTTTTTTGAGATAGAGCCTCAAGCTATTCCCCTGGGTAGAGTG